TCCACCACATCCTTCCAAATAATAAGGAGTTTTACTTAAAAGCTCTAAGACCCCAAACCATTTTAAAATACAACAGAGGAAATTAGAACAGGAGACAGGCCACCGTATCTCCCTGGTAACAACTCAAAACAATAAAATATTGCGGTTGCCAAACCACTAGCTAAGTGAGGGAACTATGCCAAGTTGCGCTCCCTACGTTCAGCAGTAGACTTTTGATAGGCTGTAATGAATGAATGAATAATTGATATCTTGAGGAAGCACAGAGGAAAACGGGAAAGAAAAGACAAACCGCGGTCTTGCCGCTATTATTGTACTGTCGCAGCACTGCCTCTGTGTACGTTCCGTGGAGCAAACCCAGTTGCGATTAAAAAAACACGATTAGTATTTCTTGCCAAACCCATAATAAGTCTAAGGATAATTTTGAGAAAATATAGGGGCTGAATTTAAGTAGACTTCATAGTCACCTGTTCACGATATATAGTACGAAATTCAACGTTATTCAACAAAGTTTTTGTTGTAAGATGTCAGATGAATCTTCCATAAACTTTTATTGATATAAATAAGTATTACGAACCGGATTAATCAAAATCCTAAACTATACTATGTCATAGACAAAAGGCATTTATCGATAAGGATTTTGTTTCGCTAATAGAACATCAATAAAGATGTCTATGAAATGATAAAACGGCAATAATCTTATAAAAGAAAGAAATTGAGTATAATATAGCTTTCTTATTTTGTACCTTGTTAAACGTCATATATGCGAGGGCGACACTGAAAGTTTTTAGAACAGGCCACGTGTAAACGATATAATAAAAAAATAAGATCAAATGTTGATCAAATTATTTCTCCAAGGAGCAAAAACTAATAAAATGGAAAAAAAATTTTAGCAATCATATTATATAGCAAAATAGTACACAAGTATTACACATCGACATTGATGAGAATTATTAACCGGTGCTACAGTTCAGAATGCATTTCATAAACAAACAAATGTTTACACCTCTGTTAATCAATAAAAATATAAAATATTGTCGGTATTAAAATGTGTACAGTGGCGTTAACTATTCAAAAAGAATAGCCAACGGTCAATTCTTAAAAAAGTTAAAAAGAAAAACCGCTTTTGCTCATGCTAAGTCCGTAAGGCGATTATAAGATTTTTCCGCCGGATATTGGAAAACATGAAATGCTGTTTGAAATTATAAAAAACAAAGAATATTTGTTTTAGCGATTTGGGAATAAAATAGGTTTCTCTTTAAAATATATTTCTGGGAATTAAAAATAATCACCGATATTACATATTAATAACGCTTACATTACGATGGATTCATTATCAGAATATATGTCAGGGTAAATAACTGATATTAAAATATTTTATTCGTTGAGGCTCATCAACGTTTAACCAGACTTCAAAAAATAATTAATTATCATTTTTTTACCGGTGGGTTTTTTTTACCGATGGTTGTGAATGCTCACTTTATCTTTTCAATGTATAAAATACCGAATGATGAATGAATGATCTTAAAAGGTAGTAGACAGTTTTTGCTAGTGTATTGAATTTCGGCTCGAGCCACATTTGAAATGGGCTAATATTTTTTAATAGTTTATTATTATGGTTTTAAATATTTTTTAAATGTAAAAGCAGCCAATGTACATGATATATGTGTATTCAGTGTAAAAAGTACAGTAGAATGCTCAGTGAATGCAACACATAATCTGATCAAATTCCTTACATTCTTTTATAGAATATAGGTGACAAACGAGCACACATTATTTAAACGAGCACCTTTTTATAACTAACCTGGTTCATAGATATTTACATCTATCTTCGATTTAAGAATAAAAATTTAGATGCGTCGTCACCCCTGAGTCATTCCCCGGTAGAGCCGACTTATCCATGGTGCTGCTACAATATAGCTGCAGCACGCGCTACCACGTTTAAAACATTACATTATTTGTCAAAAATTTTTATGTAAATTATCCATCCATCAGACGGTAAATGACTGCAATGACCGGTACACCTAAATCTCTCCTCGATTACGAATCAGTGTAGATTTTTTATCTCCCTAGAGAATTAAGATGAAAGCCTTGTTACCAATAAATTTTTTAAATCTCTGTTAGCCAGTTTTATGTACAACGGTCTTTTATGGAAAACGAAGCACTTTTAAAATATATAAACCCAGCATTAATAAGTGGTTTTAAATTATACGTTTTTAACTTATTCTGGTATTATTCAAACCAAACTGTAAATGATTACCAACTCTAAATAATCGATACCGATTTTTTTAAGAATCGAATATTTTACGTTACCATTTTTTGGTTAGCATGCTTGGTGCAATAAATCTGACAGCTTTCAAAATGTATTTCTTAGATTTGGTTGACTATAATTAACACTTCTTAATCGGTACTATCCATTATCCATCAGGTACGCTGTTTGTCATTCTTTATTGTATAAAAAGTCTGACGGAATGAATTACAGAAACTTTAGTATTTGGTGGGAAATGTTGAGCCCAAAACCAAATATATAATTAAAAATCTAATTATTTGGGGGGAAGCATATTTTTTTTTACATATTCGTGGCATTTATGTATATTATAATTTAGATAATTACATAAAAATAAATAAATTCTTCAAAAATACAAACTAACAGGGATACGGAAATACAGCCAATCATTAAAAGATCTAAAATATCTGTTTCGGCTTCAGTATATTTTTTGTCTTTAGACAATGATATGCTCTTTACTCTCATATTGATAAATATCCCCAATATGAGGGTATCTATGGGGGAGTCCCATGTTCAGCAGTGGACTTTCAATGGAGTAATGATGTGATTAATTATGAATCATAAGTTAACGTAATAATTATGTGTGTGCTTGGATGCTTATGCGTGAGCGCATCTTTGAGTGTCTATTTTTTGTAGACTGAATTAAAGTTTACCCTTGATGTTTGTCTACTAACAAGCCTAGATACTCATCCATTAATTATCAGCTCGATAAGATTGACATTTGTGATTAAATGAGATGATGTGGCTACTAAGCCACGCTTGGTAGGCGAGTCGGCCACCGAATTTTTTTTTAATTATTTATGCTGTTATCAGGAAGATTCTGCTGCAATTTTCCTGGTTCAGTCCCCTCTGTAGCCTCTTACGCACCCACTAGATGATATTATGAAGTAGTGGATTTTCTTAAACTGCTACTACGCAGTATAATTTATGACTTTATGAGTTATTATTTATATAAAAAAAATATTCAACACATCAAAATATTTTATAACTTTTTATTATTCATAAATAAAAAAATAAAATAATTCATTAATTGTGTATAAAGAAGCATACAAAGAGAGGAAAGTAGAATAAATAAAATATTTCGAAAACATATTAATACGGACTAGAACAAAGTGGCGATATAGTTGTTCCATAACTCTTTCAGGAATCACTAGCGGTGAGACTTATATGTTGTATAGGCTGTGGCTTATTTTTTTACGGTAATTAATTAATCCTGCATTGAAACTAACACTGGAATTTATAGTCAAGAAAGGGACTCCCGTAGACACCGCTTCAATAATTTCCACCCCTCAATTATTAATATGAACAATTTAAAAATCAACAAATACTGTTGTATATAGGTGCTAGTAATTGAACAAAGTACAATTATATCGTAATAAACAACTTAGTTGCAAGTTCAAGCCGTTTGAATAGCCGGCGGTATAAGAAAACACTATCATCTATCATCACTGCAGGTGTTGTAACAGGCGATTGAGAGAAACTTAAACACAAAATCGGTAGCCGCACCTTTATGATAACATAAAATAATAAAAAACCTGCGATGGCCAACCCACTTACAACGCGTAGTAAATATGGCAATAATCGCCCCTGTAAGACAATCTATGAAGATCTAAAGTTCAGCTGTGGACTTTGACAGGCCATGAAAATCCACTTTATTATAAACCAAACACAAGATACATTTTATGCATGTAAAATTGGCTTTAGGTGTTCGTCCATGTGTGTTAGAAGAAGTTTATGTTCTACAATTATAGGAAGCTATGCAAATAAATTGTAGCATAAAATAGCACACCTAAAAAATAATAATTTTAGGCTTGTATTAAATATCTTCATGTTAATCTGGACTATTAAAACTAATTAGCCTAATTACGATTTCAATATTGAATAACGTAACGTAAATTTTATTTTAATTCAGTTGAAGAACGTTGTACATTTTTATATTTGTGATTTAATGAACTGCTGCTGAACTTATAACTTGGCACCAGTTCAGATCTCAACACTTTTATCGGCGAAGCTAACAACTCCGATTGCCGTTTGAACCGAACTTGGCCCCCATTTTATATTCATGTATTCGATAGGATTCGTTTTACAACATATTAATTGTGACAACATAAACAAAAATACAACAATTGAGTAAATCTATAATTCAGTATATTTTTCTTACTAAAAAAAATTCTTTAGATAACTAAACTTCAAAGTGCACTTGCAATTCATGTATAATTAAACAACCATGACTAATTTATAAAGACTACGAGCAGAATTGCTATAGGAAAGAAAGAAAAAACAAACAAGTTTAAAATTCCACTAATGTATAAAAAGTAATAAAGGAAATAGACAAATTATACGCTTTGTGTGCGTTAAAATCTTTCTATTAAATCTAAAAATGTTGGCCATAAAAGCTTCTCAAAAAAAATCAGAAAAAAAATCTACAATGGACGTAGTAATCTGCATAGTTCTGCGCTGCTACGCTTAAAACCTGAAGTAATATAATAATCCATTCTCGACAATTGAATTATAGTGAATTCAATAACAGTTTCAGAGTTTTATTGAAGAGACGCTTTAGATCATTTTATTATAAAATTAAATTATAACAACCGGTTTTAATCTCCAAATAATTTTATAATTTCCAAGTCAATTCTTATTAATTTTAAATGTAATAGCAAACTTAGTATAAATTATATTTTAAGAGAAATCAACTAAATTTCTTTTAACCTATGTCTTATAATCCATTTATAAATGCCTGAAAGACAGTTCACTTAAATTTTAAGGATATATAAAATTAAACGTGATGGAATACGTTTGAATAAGAGACTGATTATATGGTTATCACATACCTGGAATTCCGGCGGCGGCTCGATGGCAGTCGGGATGCTCTTCCCAGGACCCTTCTTCACCGTATTAAAGAAATCATCACACATACGTTCGGAGGTCTCGGTGGAGTCACATAGGGACAGCGACCCCTCATCAAAGTCGCTTTCTTGTAACTGCACACAAAACATCGTCTAAGTAAAATATTCGCCTAATAAATTTAAGAATGAGCCGACTTAATTTCGATTAAATATATATTTTATTTTATTTATAATATCGAATAAAGGTCTTCAATCAAGTTCTCGCAGAGTACACGTATTGAGCGCGAAAACTGCAGTCCGTCCGTTAGAGCCCGTCCGCTAACGGCGACTGGTAACTGGTAAGCAAGGAACAAGCAAATAATGTTCCCGCGTTAATCCCGATCAAAACATGAAGCGTGTTAATGATTTCGCATCGGAGCCTCAAACGTAATTATACACCAGAATTCCTCACGACAAAGCACAGCATATTGGTCTAAGCTCAAAATAGTACCATTATGCGAACAGCTGAACTCCGGACATAATATATGTCACTATGTATGAGATTTCAACCGTTTAGCTTTTTATATTGTTATCATGTCTGTTATAGTTAAAGCGCAGTCTCGTATCTCTATAAAGTATAATATCCTTAAAAAACTATTAGTACAATGTAAAAAATTGGTTGACCCTGCAGGCCATCCCTGGAACTTTCCGCTACTTTCAAATGCAAAGCGTTCAAAATGCCATCAAATTATGTTGCGAAATCTCGAAGTTATGTTAAAAAATCGTTTTTTTTTTTTTCAAGTTCTTTCTCCTTCGATATCACACGAACGAAAGAACTGATTTTTATTTTTCAAACAGCATTCGACGTAATTTTTTGAAGTTAAGAGCTCATTAGATTTTGAAATCGATTGGTAAAGCCGTTTAAAAGTATTTCCAAAAAACGTTATTCAAATTTTTTATTTTTGAGATGCAAAATCTACTCGTTCGAATCAGTTCATATTATCACAAAATCTATTCCACATTGGGATCTTTAAAAAGTAGGAAAGTTCAAAAGTTCAAAAATATGAAAAGTTTACGTATTTACACACACACACACACACACACACACCATAAATATATACAACCGTACGGACGTCCACGTGAAGTAAGTCAGAATAGCTTCCTGGGATCTCAAAACGTCGAGATCTGATGAAAACTCGATTTTCGAACATCGGGGTGAAACCAATAACATTCTCTTAGGGGAAAGTTAAAAAAATTCTGACAACTACTAACAAGCAATATTTTATTACGAATGAAAGAAGGAACTAACTCGATTTTCAGATTGCTACTACCCTCACCCAAAAGCGTGTTCTTACTAAGGTTAAAATTCTGATTAGAATAGTAATAAAACAGATTCTAAAATAATATCTGTATTACAAATTAAACACACACACGCGCGCGCGTGCACACGCACACGCGCTCACACTCACGCAACGCATACGCACGCATGCACGCATCCACGCACCCACGCACGCATGCACGCACGCACGCACGCACGCACGCACGCACGCACGCACGCACGCACGCACGCACGAATAGCAAAACCGGATCATTAAATGGGCCATAATTGGTAAACGGTAAGTTTTACAAAAAGTTTACTGGAAACAAAAGATGCGAAATTTTAGTTTCTACCATAATGGTTTGTATAACTTTTGCCTTAAAGTGCATTGTTTCCGTGATATCGGCTGAAAACGTCTTTTTAAGATGGCACTTGAAGCGCCACCTATTCATTAAATGTGCCATAAATCGTAACGGTAAGTTTTACAAAAAAGTTTACTGGAAACAAAAGATGCGAAATTTTATTTTCTACAATAATAGTTTTAATAACTTTTGCCTGAAAGTGCATAGTTACCGAGATATCGGCTGAAAACGTTTTTTCAAGATTGCGCTTGAAGCGCCACCAGGATCTGTCAGGATTTTATGATTTTATGCTGAATAAGTGATCCTAAACCTCATAAAAAATAAAATAGAATCGGAAATTTCGTGCTAAGATACATTCTATTTTTACTGTACTATTTCATTAAACATTTTGTCAACAACGTCTTGCAATCGTCGTTTCTCTAGCGCTCATGTGACCTACATATAAATAATTCTATATTTTAATTGTTGATAATTTTTATTTTTGGATAAGTGTTTTTTTTTTATAGAAGAGGGGGCAAACGAGCATGCGGCTCACCAGATGTTAAGTGACAACCGCCGATCATGATCAACCGCAACACCAGGGGAATTGCAGATGCGTTGCCGGCCCTTTAGAAAGGAGTAAGCTCTTTTCTTGAAGGTCCCCAGGTCGTATCGGTCCGAAAAAATCGCCGGTGGTAAATTATTCCACAGAGAGGTCGTACTCGGAAGAAAACTTGTGAAACGTACAGTGGTGGACCGCCAGGCATCCAGATGGTGTGGATGGTATCGGGACGTTTACTGTGTAGTGCGTACACGAAATTTGGCGGCTGGGATTAACCCGAACAATTCCTCAGAGCATTCCCCATGGTATATGCGAAAGAAAATGCAAAGAGATGTAACATCTCATCGCAGCGCCAGTGAATCGAGCCGATCAGAAAGGACTCGGTCGTCGACGATTCGAGCCGCTCTGCGCTGGATGCGGTCAGGTGGAAGGAGCTGGTAATGGGGAGCTCCAGCCCAGAGCTGGGAACAGTATTCCATGTGCGGCCGAACCTGCGCCTTGTAAAGTTGCAGGCGTTGTGCCGGCATGAAATACTGTACCGCTCTGCTGAGCACGCCAATCTTTTTAGAGGCCAATTTGGCCTTCTCTTCCAAGTGACCACGAAACTACACGTCACTCGATATGTCGACGCCGAGGTTTCCGATACTGGCTGAGGCAACAAAGGGAGTGCCTTAAAACTGAGGAGCTACGACAAAGGGGTTCTTTTTAGCCGTTAACACGGTGTGTCTTCTGAGGGTTAAACTGGACTAGATTTACTCGCCCCAAATCCGACTCTGTTCAGTAAAGACTCGACTTCAGACACAAGTTTGTCCCGGTACTAGGAGACGTTTTCCCGAGAAATATTGGCACGGCCGGTGTACAGAGCATCACCAGTGCTGTCATCCGCATAGCAATGAATGTTACGGGTTTGCAACATATTATTGATATACAGAAGAAACAGCGTTAAATGACTATGTTATATTTACCTTCATTTAAAAAAAATGTCCTTGGCCAAACCAAACCAACGTTGGCTTGACCATAGGTCTGACTAATAGGTCCAATATACTGACGTGACACGAGTGGTTAAATTACATTAAAGTTAGCTGTCACCTGACCAATTTTTTATTTTATTTAAAATTATATTAATTCAAAAAATTATTTAAAAAAAAGTATATTTAAAAAATATTTTTTGTTCTAATCAATAAATGAAAAAAAATTAAAAATGTCGGCTAACTTTAGTATTATTTATTGTCATTTTTTTCTTTTTTTTTTTTTTTGTTGGCATAATTTGTTTGTTAACAAAAGTTCTAAAAATTATAAAATATCTGCTCAAGTAATTTTCATGGCCTTAACAGCGCAGTCGGTCTCACTCAGTCTCATGCGCGTAGATAATGCTCTCGCTCTCAGACTCTCACAGATATTAAAATTTAGTTTAGGGGATGATTGGCCCCTTGGATCGGTCTGTCTTCTTGTAAAATAGTTGTCGGGTTAACATATATAAAAATGGACCATCAGAATTTACGTGAAGTTAACTAATTAATTTTGAGAGCTTTAAAGCGTCTGCAAAGCAATATGGCCGACGGAAAATGTCTGGGAGTATTGACAACTTATTTTTAACCGTACATTCTGAAACATATATGAAAATCAGCTATGAGAATTCACGTGAAGTAAGTAATGTTTTTATGTACCTTGATCACCTGATATCTGGAAATTGGCCATTTGACCATACTATCAGGTAGGCATACGATCGTAGTACATACTAACACTACTCAATCGTCCACATTTCATCCGTCAGAAAATACGTGACGTCTGGCGGCCCTGGGATCTTAGACTATAAGTACATGTTGGATTAGCATTAAATCTTAGTTGTAAAGAAAATATACAATTTTAACGAGGAAACATTAGGACCGTTTTCATAAAATAAAGGTAAGGAAAGTTAAGAATAAAATAAATCTTTTAGGAGATGACTGATGTCTATATTATTCGTCAAAAGAGATAAATATAATACAAAAATGTAGAACATACACACTAAGATTTATTTGAGTTTTCAGATAATATAGAAAAATGGGTGTAAGTGCAATCGGCCTGCGCTCAGTATTAACTTCACATTAGTCATAGTCACACTAACTACTTCGATTTTATTGTTTCAAAAAATTTTTGTCTTCATTTTGATCTTGGAGAATAGATGAAGTTACATGAATTGCAGCATTCACTAAACATCAAGATAAATGAGAAAACATTAACATAGTAATTTTCAGACACTCAGACAGTTAAACCACTCGAATGTAGCTTATAAAAAACCAGGAAAGATTGAACATAAAATCGCAAGGATTTTGTAAGCTTAGGACCAATTTAGTCTTACTTTCATCGTAATATGCCAAAGGGATTTAGACTGCAAGAACTCTAAATTACTAGCTAACAAGTGCGGCTTTTAGTAAGTCAGAGCTTTCTTTAAAATTATTACTTTAATATATTGGACTTCGTAAATTAGTTAGCCCTTATAAAAGATGATTATTTCCTAACTGATTAAGTTAGTTGTTATCCTAGCTGCTACAAATATGATAAGCGACTTAAAGTGGTACAAACGTGGTGTATACGCAAACAGGGATATTTACTCGGCCTTATATACCAACCGTTCAACAACATTGATATAATTGATATCCGTGCGCGATATTCAGAGTACCTTAGCAAATGCCGGGACTGGCGAGTCTTGGGTTCATATCTCAACGTCCGGAGACAACATTTACGCAAAAGACAAATTATGGATTATAAACTTAAACAAATTAATATCTAACCTTATGGATTATAAACTATCTATTCAACTCAGATGAGCAGTGTTCGATATATTAGAATACATATTTTCAATTAATAAAAATATGTTACTGCTACTGTTTAAATGAGCTCAAGGTCGCGGTTCGGAGTTACCTAGCTGATAGATGAACAAAGCCCAACGGAT